ACGTGAGTTTCATATTAGATGTATTTTAAGTCAGTTGCAATTAGGTTCATAGTCTGTTTCTTGTGCCGGGTTGAGCCACCAATCTAAAAGTGGGGGGCTCATTTTTTAAACCAATGTACATTCATTAATTTAATTATATTTAAAATGATCCAAAGAACTTAGTGCGTTCATCAGTTACACTAATATACTCCTTAGAAATTGATACTAAGTCTAAGTTATCAGTAATTTCCTTATGTATATGTAATAGTAAGCAATTGTTTAAAGTTTTTCAGTCATTCTTGATCTTGCTGATGTTAGCAGTCTCTTTAATGCTGAAAAAGTACGTTCAGATGTTGCTGAAGTATTAGATATAGTCTTATCAGAAGATGTACCAATGATAGCATGTCTTGATATGATTTGCTGCTATTCATTGCATCACAAATATCACAAACATTGCACATTGCATCACAAACCCTATATCAAAAGCATGAGGGGCTCTGCTCAAAAGTGGGGGGGCTGTGCCCCCCTGCATCAAAAGTGGAGGGGCTCCAGCCCCCCTGCCCCCCAGATTCTCAACCACTGTGTGAGTATACTGCTAGTACTGAGTAGGCTTGGGCGGGCAGGCAATGTAATTAATTGTTATAGAATATTATTATTATTATGTTTCATTATCACCGGTATTATAAACTCAGTTGCGTGCTAATTTATGCAAAAAATAATGAATAGTGGTATGCATGCGGGTGGGAAATGGGAAATTAAGAATCAAGTTAATGTGGCCTAATGTGCCTTTTATGTGTGCGTTTGCTATCAATTTAAAAAAATGATCAACCCCTAACCTTTTTTGACATGTAACACTATTTGCTTATTTGTGTCTTTTGTTAATGGTATTGAAAGGTGTCAATATTTTAGACATGTGTTTTTATCCTGTATTATAGTACTAGCCGCTGCCTCACATGCTCTTCAAAATTTAAGGAGAGCAAGATGTAGTGGAGGAGGATCATTGGGGCATAGGAGAGAGAAAAGGTCTCTACAGCCATCTAGTTGTACTAGTGTCAAGAAACGACCTATTTGGAAGCACAATTTTGTGTGCTTGTCAAACATGGACCAGAGTATCAGTTACAATAATATTGATGAAAAGCACCGTTTGATGATGGCTGGTCTTGGAGAAAAAGTGATTGAATTCACTGATTTAGAAATCACAAGAGACGAATTTAAAGAAATATTGTATAGTGCTTTTCCTCCGCTCAGGAATGGTGGTGGTTTCATTTTTTAAAAGTGTTTGCCAAACTTCCGTAAGCTTTAAATTCTCCCTTCGACAGTTCTGTCTTCACCATCCAACTTAAAGACACTTGCTGGGTTTGCCAAAACGTTCATTCGACCATTACAGTGCGATTTACTTCTCAATAATATTGATTCCCTTGATGATGAGGTTAGTGTAATAGTATTAAGTAGTACTTTTTATTCCTATTGTAGCTGACAGAAGATTGTCTAAAATGTGGTAAATCATTTTCTATATGTTTGATAAAGGATCACCTAGTAACATGCACTGAGTAAGCAACTTGTATTACTGTTTTGCCTTTATTGTTTTTCAGGGTATCTAATGGTAAACCACAAAGTAGTAGTGATGGTGTGGTTGAAGGAACGATTAATAACACCATTAATATGGACTTGTAAGTATAAGCATTGCTCCTCAAGATACTGATAGTTTTTGTTAATGTAGTAATGATGATGATGCAGGACCTTTACATTCCTATGCCCATGAAGAAGTTTTTGATGAATTCAGATCAGATTCAGATCAATCAGATAATGATAGTATCCCTCCACTTCCTCCTCCTACAGTTAAGCATCGGTAAAAGAAAATTATGTTACTTTGGCTTATACTTTTCATTATTAGTCCAAAGACCTCGAAGGGGATCCTTGCAACTTTATATTTAGCTTTGGATGGAGTTGTTAGAATTGATGTCCGGAGTGACTATGTACTGGAAGATGCCTTGGTTGAGTGCAAAA